GTACACAGGACGATGTCTTTTGACACACTGACGTATGAAGCTCGGTGCTTTCTGTGACTGTACGTGCAGCTTTGTGCTGCCATCTGTTGGTGTGTTACTAAACTAGTCTTGAAACTTTGATATCACCTCGTACGCTTTAGTGATAAAACACCCAATACATTTTTTCTTCTTCCAGGAAATAGCACCAGTTGCACAGCTCCCGATGTACACAGGACGATGTCTTTTGACACGCTGTCTTATAAAGCTCGGTGCTTTCTGTGAGTGTGCGTGCAGCCTTGTGCTACCATCTGTTGGTGCGTTACAAAACTAGTCTTGAAACTTTGATTTCACCTCGTAGGCTTTAGTGATAGACACCCAATACATTTTTTCTTCTTCCAGGAAATAGCACCAGTTGCACAGCTCCCTATGTACACAGGACGATGTCTTTTGACACACTGACTTATGAAGGACAGTGCTTTCTGTGACTGTGCATGCAGTCTTGTGCTGCTATCTGTTGGTGCATTATCAAAGTTTCAAGACTAGTTTTGAAACGCACCAACAAATGGCAGCACAAGGCTGCACGCACAGTCACAGAAAGCACCGACCTTCATAAATCAGTCTGTCAAAAGACATCGTCCTGTGTACATCGGGAGCTGTGCAACTGGTGCTATCCTGACCACAGGCAATACCACTTCTGTGATTTCATCATGGACAGCAAGTTAGAACAAAGAGCAAAACTGTGAAATTCTGCGTGAAACTGGGCACATCTGCCACAGAGACATTTGACATGATTCGGCAAGTTTACAGCGATTCTACAATGAGTCGTTCGAGGAGTTTTTGAGTGGCATGCATGCTTCAAGAGCCGAAGAACATAAGTGGAAGAGGATGAGAATTCAGGAAGCCCTTCAACAAGCTCAACCCCCCAAAAATGCCCTCTTCCCAATTCCTAATTCAAATGAATCCATTAACGTATTATTAAAAATGCCAACAAATTTATGATGTACTACAATACACCTCCCTCCACAGAAACATGCTCCTGTGTGTATTTATGTACCAGTGGTTATTTGTGACATCCTCAACTTCCATTTGGTAGTGCCACACTAAAGTTTTGACAACATTGCAGAGATCCAGCGATTTGGCAGCACAGTGGCTAAACGGTTACCACTTCCGCCTGGTAGTACTCGGGTCGTCGGTTCAAATCCCAACCACGGCACCACCTGCCTGGAGTTTCCATGTTCTCCCTGTGCCTGTGTTGGTTTCCTCGGGGTACTCCGGTTTCCTCCCACACTCCAAAGACATGCTGGTAGGTTCATAATTGGCTCCTGTCTAAATTGCCCCTAGTATGTGTATGTATGAATGTAAGTAGAGATGAACGAATCGAACCAGGCGAAGTGGAATTCGTTTCGAATTTCAGGAAAAATTCGATTCGCGTCGAATCCGAATATTAGCATACTTCGGGTGCGCGAATCGGATTTTTCCCGATCAGCCGGCAAAAGTGTCCCTGCAGAGAGCTCCGCTATTTCTGACAGTTCCTTCACATGTACAGCGGTTGAAACATTGTATCTATTTGTTTCCATTTAGGATAGATGTTTTTATTCGGAAACAGATACAATGTTTCAACCGCTGTAAATGTGAAGGAACTGTCAGAAATAGCGGAGCTCTCTGCAGATACACTTTTTGCTGTACTCTTCTTCTTCTTCTTCTTCTTCTTCAGTAGGATGAAAATAAGAAGAATTCCAAGCCGGCAAAAAGTGTATCTGCAGAGCTCCGCTAAGTGTATCTGCAGAGCTCCGCTAAGAAATAGCGGAGCTCTGCAGATACACTTTTTGCCGGCTTGGAATTCTCCTTCTTCTCATCCTTCTCCTTCTTCTCATCCTTCTTCTCATCCTTCTCCTTCTTCTCATCCTTCTTATCCTTCTCCTTCTTCTCATCCTTCTCCTTCTTCTCATCCTTCTCCTTCTTCTCATCCTTCTCCTTCTCCTTCCTCATCTCCAAGGGCATTTAAATTAAAGGTACAGTGTTCTGCACTAATATAAAGGCTCTCTGAAGCCTAGAAACCCTTTTTATAAGTTAAATTCGCAGCGAATAAATTCGCATCAAATCGAATTTCTTCCTCAAATTTGGCGAATCAGCCGAATCGAATTTTTTGAATAATTTGCTCATCTCTAAATGTAAGTTAGGGAACTTAGATTGTACGCCCCTTGAGGGTTAGGGACTGATGTGAATGTACAATATATATATGTAAAGCACTGTGTAAATTGATGGCGCTATAGAAGTACCTGAAATAAATAAATTTGCCCAGTTTCATGCAGAATTTCACGTTTGCTCTCTGTTTTAACTTGCTGTCCATGACAAAATTGCAGAGATCCAGCGATTTGCCCAGTTTCACGCAGAATTTCAAGTTTGCTCTCGATTTTAACTTGCTGTCCATGATGAAATATACCTGGTAACTCACGTGATCACACAAGCACCAGTTGCACAGCTCCTGATGTACACAGGATGATGTCTTTTAGCACACTGACTTATGAAGGTCGGTGATCCCTGTGACTGTGTGTGCAGCCTTGTTGGCCTGTTATAAAACTAGTCTCAAAACTTTTTGATACCACCTCATATGTAAGGTTTAAGCTAACAAGGCCTGTAGGTGGGCACTGCTTTCAGTTTTTCCAATTTTGCCCAAATTTTGCTGACCAACATGTTGTTGTTGTTGTATAGCATGGACACAAACGTTTTTCATGGCATTGGGTCCTAGATTGCATGTTAGTTTCTCTCCCACTGCTAGAAAAAAAAGAAGTTAAAAAAAAATTGAAATTTTGATGTATCTGTAAATTCCTCATCTTGGAGTAAATGACAGGACTCGTATTCATAGACCATGGGGTAAAATGCGACTACCTTTAGATGATTGGACACTGGCAGAAACTTTTGCTGGGTTGCTTCTACAGCATACCCATAAAACGCTTCCCACTTCGAGAGGCTTCAGCTGTTTTTGTGCAAGCAATAAGGAGTGATCTCCAAGATAAGCAATTTACAGGTAAAATCAAAATTCCTATTATTTTAAATCACACAGTACAGGAGTGGCCTTCATCGATCATAGAAAGTACCCAAACAATGAAACTGAGAAGTGGGCAACAACATGCCATGAACTGCCAACAGACCCACAAGAAGGGTTTAAAGTGTTAGTTCATCTCCACATATTTTCTGTAAAAGGTCAACACTTTAAAGAACCCAAAGAAATTACTGAGATAACAGTTTGAAGCACCTTGTGAATGAAGCTTGCATCAACTGAGGCCTGAACGTCCACCTGATAGAACATGGAAAACCTGTGAACACCTGAAAAATCCAGGACACAGCAATGTCCCTGGTAGAATGTGCTCTAATGGGAAAGGAGGATCATTTTCTTTAAGGGTATAGGCACTGGAAATTAGTTGCCTGATCCACCTGAAAATAGTGGAGCGGGAAGCAGGGTGTCCTCTACAAGGCCCTCCAGGTGGAACAAAGAATTAAGCTAGAAGTAATGCCAAGTAGACAGACAGCCCTAACCACATCCAATGTGAGGCAATTTCCATGTTCTGAAGGAGGACATAGGGAAGTAAGGATGATGTCATCATTGAGGAGGAAGGATAAAACCACCTTTATGTAGAAAGGAAGGCTTATGTCTCAAAAGCACTTAATCCTTGAGTAGAAGAGTTACAAGAAGAGCTAGAAACTCAGAAACATGTCTAACAGATATGATGGCAACCCTAAAAGGTGAGGTATTCCAACAGAATGTCTCTGTTGGTTCAAAGGGGGGACTCTCTGTAGAGCAGAGAACACAGCTTTAGATTCCAAGGTGACAATGGAGGTCAAATTGGAGGAATGATTTGAGAAGCATTCTATAGAATGGTTCTGATAAGGGATTGTGAGGCAAGGGTTGCACGAGGCAAAGAAAATCTTCCATAGTAAATTTTGCCAAATTTGAATTCCCTAGCTCTAAATAAGGTGGGAATAAATGAATCAAAGAAAAGGCTTTCTTTTAGGATCCTTGGTCTTGTCCACAAACTTATTCAGCTTGTTGTTGAACCTGAAAGTCAGAATTTCCACATCTGGTTTTCCCCATTTTAGACAGAGATTTTGAAAGATCTTGAGACGCACAGCCCACTCTCCCGGGTCTACGCGTTGACTGTTTAGAAAGTCCACCTGCTGATTTTCGACTGCAGGAATGTAGAAGCCTAAAAGAACTGGAATGCAAGTTTCTGCGCATAAGAGTGTTAGACCCATTTCTTTTAGGACTGCTAGGGTTCTGGTGCTCCCTTGATGATTTATGTAGGCCACTGCTGCTGCATTTTTCTGACTGTGCTTGGATTGGGTGACCTTGTGAAAGGGAGGTCCAATCTTGTAAAGATAATCTATTGGCTCTCAGTTCCAGAATGTTGATGGGTAGCTTTGATTCTTGTAGAGACAATGTTCCCAGAACAGTCAAGGGTTTGTTAATTCCACCCCAGCCTGTAAGACACGCATCTGTCGTTAAAATGTTCCAAGTCCTGTGAAGGAACAGCTTTCCTAGTTCCAATGCAGGATTAGAAATCCATAGTGCCTTTCCATAGTGGCTTTACTTGACAGAAGTGTTGATCCAAGGTTTGGGTATTCTTGTGCCATGTCTTGAGGATGTTGGATTGAAGGGGTGTCGTTGTGACCCGAGGGTCCAAGACCTTGACTCTAGCAAGGCAATGTTCTCACGAGGAAGTAAGACTGGCTTGGGCTGTGTTCAAGACCCAGGTAGTCCAGACAGTATGTGGGCTGGATGGAACACTTTGGAAGATTGATTATCCTACCAAAAATTTGAAAAACTTTAGGTCTTGGTAAAGGTCTATAATATGATCCACTCAATCATGAAACTCAACCTACGGAAAAACCCAGGAGAGGCCCCCTTACATAAAAAGATAGCAGAAGCTCCCTGGCGATCTCGCGTCCTGATTGCATTCATCCTTATGGCAACAAAACAAACCATAGCGTGTGCGTGGAGGATGTTGGGTCTCCAGGTCGAGGAAGTTAACTCTAGACTCCAAGAATTCTTTATTGACAAAAAATTGATGACAATATTGGAAGACAAGCATGACAAATTTCTCTCTAGCTGGCAACCCTGGTTGGACTACCAACCAGGGGCGGACTGACCATTCGGGAACTCAGGCACTGCCCGAGGGTCCCGGGTCAGTAGGGGGCCCCATGAGATGCCCCTGGTACCTTTCATAGGCTTTTTTGGGTGTGGATTGAGTGTGGGCGAGGACACAGGGGCCCCATTATCCCTTATTGCCCGGGGGCCCCATGAGTGGTCAGTCCGCCCCTGCTACCAACCGGTCTCTTGCTTCACAACGCAATTGCTCCGTCTTTGACCCTGTATGCTACATTCCTTTCCTCCCAATTGATTCCCTTCCTGCTACTCCGGGCAGAAGGGCACCTGCTGCTACCCCGTGGTGAAATCCCCCTCCACCCCTTTTATTCCCCCTTCCTTTGCTTCTTTCACTCTCTCAATTTCTTTATTAGGCGTGACCCACAAATGGGCCCTTCTTACCTGTGACCTAAGGGCCCTCTTTCTGTTTTTCTCAAGTGACGTTTATTTTGCATTACTAGGTCTGCATATCCCTTAACAATGCCTAAACATCCTTTTTTTCTACATAGCCCTAACGTACCACTCATCTCACCAGATCAGAGATTTTAGGTTCCACTCTCTTTTTTTATTAATTATTTGAGATTTACCTCATTGACCAGGTTTCATGATCTTTACTAAGTGATATCCTTTTACAACCGCTACCATGTTGTCAATGTAAGGTTTATGACCTTTTTCAGGTTTGTCTCATTGTTATTATCTGGCTAGCCCCTGCGTGGGCCCACACCTTAACTATATTCTTTATGTATCTGTTGTACTTATCAGAATAACCCAATTCTGACCTTACTTTACAAAGCCTACCTTGTAAAACTACTGTTTCAATAAATCTCTTGTACCAAAAAAAAAACAAAAAAAAAAAAAAACTGTATGGTCCTTTGGACGTTGGCAGACAGGGTCTAGGTGTCATCCAGTAAAAGGTAACCTATGACATGAATGCCCTGGGTTCATAGAAGAGGCAGAAGTGAGGCAAGCACTTTTATGAAGAATTGGGGTGCAGAGGACAGCCCAAATAGCAGTGCTAGATTTACCACAGCCAGTACTGGGCGGATGTCCCTATTTGATTTTGGGACTGAAACAGCTTTGAATAGAAACTTTGAAACCGTTCTTCTGAAAGAACTGGTACAACCACTCCATGTGCCTGAAGTAGGTGGAAGGCCATCAAAATCAAAATAAATCCCCCTTTTTTTTTTAGCTGAGGTGGCAGACTGGAAGGAAAAGCAAGGAGGGATAAAAACGTATTTTGTACCCCTTTGAAATGACAGATCGGACCCGGAGGTCTTAGGCGTTTCGGATCAAGGCTGCTGCAAAGACCAACAGATGTCCCCCCACTCCAAGAAGTAGGGTTGCCCCTTCACTGTGAGGAGGACTTCTGGAAGACTTGCTGGATTTGACAGACCAGTGGAGGTGCCATGTATAGCCTGGATTTAGGATCCAAGAGGTTCCATAGGTTAATTGTTCAAGACAGCTGTCATGTAGTGCCTGTCCTTCAGCAAAATTTTTACTCAGTCAGCACCTCCATTACTAGCAACACAATATACAGGTGAAACTCAAAAAATTAGAATATCGTGCAAAAGTTCATTTATTTCAGTAATGCAACTTAAAAGGTAAAAACTATTTTATGAGATAGACTCATTATATGCAAAGCAAGATAGTTCAAGCTGTGATTTGTCATAATGGTGATGATTATGGCTTACAGCTCAGGAAAACCCCAAATCCACAACCTCAAAAAATTAGAATATTACATGCAATCAATAAAACAAGGATTGTACATAGAACAATATCGGACCTCTGAAAAGTATAAGCATGCATATGTACTCAGTACTTGGTTTGGGCCCCTTTTGCAGCAATTACTGCATCAATGCAGCGTGGCATGGAAGCTATCAGCCTGTGGCACTGCTGAGGTGTTATGGAAGACCAGGATGCTTCAATAGCGGCCTTCAGCTCTTCTGCATTGTTCGGTCTCAAGTCTCTCATCTTTCTCTTGGCAATGCCCCATAGATTCTCTATGGGGTTCAGGTCAGGCGAGTTTGCTGGCCAATCAAGCACAGTAATCCCACGGTCATTGAACCAGGTTTTGGTGCTTTTGGCAGTGTGGGCAGGTGCCAAGTCCTGCTGGAAAATGAAGTCAGCATCCCCATAAAGCTCGTCTGCGGAAGGAAGCATGAAGTGCTCCAAAATCTCCTGGTAGACGGCTGCTTTGACCCTGGACTTAATGAAGCACAGTGGACCAACACCAGCATCTTGCAGTGTGTGTCTCTCCATTCTTCCTCCATACTCTGGGTCCTTGGTTTCCAAATGACATGCAAAAGTTGTTCTCATCAGAAAAGAGGACGTTGGACCACTGAGCAACAGACCAGGTCTTTTTTTCTTTAGCCCAGGTAAGACGCTTCTGATGTTGTTTGTTGATCAGGAGCGGCTTGACTATAGTAATACAGTAATAAATGTATAGTAATACATTTGAAGCCCATGTCCAGGATCCGTCTGTGTGTGGTGGCTCTTGATGCACTGACTCCAGTCTCAGTCGACTCCTTGTGAAAGTCCCCACCACTTTTGAATGGCCTTTTCCTGACAATCCTCTCCAAGCTGCGGTCATCCCTGCTGCTTGTGCACCTTTTTCTTCCACACTTTTCCCTTCCACATAACTTTCTATTAATGTGCTTTGATACAGCACTTTGGGAACATCCAACTTCTTTTGCAATTCCCTTTTGAGGCTTTCCCTCCTTATGGAGGGTGTCAGTGATAGTTTTCTGCACAACTGTCAGGTCAGCAGTCTTTCCCATGATTGTGATTCCTACTGAACCAGACTGAGAGACCATTTAAAGGCTCAGGAATCCTTTGCAGGTGTAATGGCTTAATTAGCTAATTAGAGTGGGACACTTTGAGCCGAGAATATTGCACCTTTTCACAATATTCTAATTTTCTGAGATTGTGGATTTGGGGTTTTCATAATCATCACAATTATGAAAAATCACGGCTTGAACTATCTTGCTTTGCATATAATGAGTCTATCTCATATATTAGTTTCACCTTTTAAGTTGCATTACTGAAATAAACTTTTGCACGATATTCAAATTTTTTGAGTTTCACCTGTAGTTACAGCCACAAAATGTATTACCTGTGGAACAGTAGGAATAAAGTAGTTTGTATGCTGTTGGAATGAGCCAAGCAGTGTCGTGGACAATGTTCTTGCGCTTGCCAGTCTTTGCATGTACTGGTTGGTGAGAATGGCTTTCCTCTCTTCTTTTCGTTGAGCCAGTGCTACATACAGAGGCTTTGTGCTAACTATTCGTCCATTCATTTCAGTCACAGCCTTTGTAGCTTCTTCTGGAGAGGAAAAACAGACAAACCCAAAGCCTTTGCTGAGCCCTCCATCCATCATCACCTGAAGTTGAAAATGAAAAATTTGTACATAATAATAATTACAAAAAAAAGGTTAAAACATACAATACCTATAAATGATGGCTCAAATTTGTTACAATTTTCAAGGTGAGCATTTCTTTGGTCTTTGCTGGCAAATAGCAATCCATTGAGGGCTATTTACTAAAACTGGAGAGTGCAAAATCTGGTTCAACTCTGCGTAGAAACCAATCAACTTCCAGGTTTTATTGCCAAAGCCTAAACAAGATGAAGTTAGAAGCCGACTGGCTACCATGCACAGCTAACAACAGTAAATCTACCCCATGATAGTCTGTTATAGTGTATCAAAGGATAGGTTCACCTTTAGGAACATGTTACCTGTTCCATCCATTTTTTAGGACGGAACATGTAACATGTTCCCACCGTTGCAGCTGCCACCTGATCCCCCCCCTACCTATGACAGCAGTACAGGGAGAAGTTTCACTTCAGAGTTCTGAATAAATGAACTACAAGTCCCGACAGCCTTTGTGGATGTCACTTTGTAGTTCTCAATGAACTACCACGGCACAGTTGAGTGCCGTGGTAGTTCATGGAGTCTTCCGGTCAAGACTGTATCTGCTTGCCCATACGGGTCCTGTATGGCACCAGATCTGCTGATCGCTGGTGAAATGCTTTCCAGGCTCAAAAAAAAAAATAAATAAAATCGTAAATTCACTTTTTTTTTACCTACAAAAAAATGGGCATTTATTATTCTTTTTTTAAAAAGTGAACATATCCTTTTTTATGCAAATGACACTTACCTCTAGGTTGTCCTTTCTAAGGTTGGGTTCTCCAAGAACTAACCGAAGAGCCAGTCTAACACTGGCTGTCAACTAGCAGACCGCACTCACTACACAATCCAAAGTTTGCAAACAGTGTATGAGGTCAGAAAACGCAGACCAACCTCTGACCTTCCATCATAAGCTAAAGCATCAGGCTCTAAAAGAGTAAGCAAGGCTAACTGTAGGAACAAATTGTTTTTCAAAGCAGCCCAATTCAAAACATATTGTCTTTTGATATACACTGCTCAAAACAATTAAAAGGAACACTTTTTAATCAAGCATCAAGCAGCATTTTAAAGCATCAAATCAATTAAACTCCTATTGATCTGGTCAGTTAAGTAGCAGAGGTGGTTGTTAATCAGTTTCAGCTGCTTTGGTGTTAATGAAATTAGCAACAGGTGCACTAGATGGGCAACAATGAGATGACCCCCAAAACAGAAATGGTTTTACAGGTGGAATCCACTGACATTTTTTTACCTACTCATCTTTTCTGACTGTTTTTTTCACTAGTTTTGCATTTGTCTAGGGTGAGTGTCACTACTGGTAGCATGAGGCCATACCTGGACCCTACAGAAGTTGCACAGTCAGTCCAACTCCTCCAGGATGGCACATCAATACATGCCATTGCCAGAAGGTTTGCTGTGTCTCCCAGCACAGTCTCAAGAGCATGGAGGAGATTCCAGGAGACAGGCGGTTACTCTAGGAGAGCTGGATGGGGCCGTAGAAGGTCCTTAACCCATCAACAGGACCGGTATCTGCTCCTTAGTGCAAGAAGGAACAGAATGAGCACTGCCAGAGCCCTACAAAATTACCTCCTGCAGGTCACTGGTGTGAATGTCTCTGACCAAACAATCAGAAACAGACTTCATGAGGGTGGCCTGAGGGCCCAATGTCCTCTAGTGGGCCCTGTGCTCACTGCCCGGCACCATAGAGCTCAACTGGCATTTGCCATTGAAAACCAGAATAGGCAGGTCTGCCACTGGCGCCCTGTGCTTTTCACAGATGAGGC